TTTTCTCTTCTCTCCCTCTTCTCTCCTCTCTCTCTCTCTCTTTAGTCTATCTATCTATCTATTGATCTCTCTTCTATCTATCTATCTATCTATCGTATCTATCTATCTAAATTCTCTGCTCTCTCTGCTCTCCCTCTCCTCTCTCTCTCCTCCACTCTCTCTCTCTCTCTCTCTCTCCTCTCTCTCTCCCTTCCTCTCTCATCTCTCTCTCCATCTCTCTCTCTCTCTCTACTACTCTCTACTCTCTCCTCTATCTATAATTTGCTCTCCCTTTCTCTTTCCCTTGCTTCCCCTCTCTCCTTCTCTCTGCTCTCTCTCTCATCGCTCTCTCTCTGTCTTTTCAACGACGCACACAGTCCATCTTCGGGAGAACTCGACCGGGACCCGCACGCTGATCACAAACACGCGCGGAGGCAGCGAATACTACACACGCGCGCGGGACTCGAAACCAGGACCTGGCACGTCGGTCGCCACACAGCGCGAGGGCATCTCGAATAACTACACGCCACACCCAGGACTCCGAACCGCCTCAGGACCCCGCACTTTGATCACAACACGTATGTAGTGAATAAACTACACGCGACCATGGACTCGACCGGCGACCCCGCACTTTGATCACAAACACGGAATGCCGCGAAATAACTTGCACGCGCACCCTGGCTCGAACCCGACACCCGGGGGGTGGTTGGGTGGTGGAGTGGAGGATAACGTACACGTGGGGCGAGCGATAGCCGCGTGTGATGCATCGGCCGCGCGCGGCGCCGGCAGCCGCAACGCGTAGTAGCGTTCACGGATTTCCGCTTTACTGCTCAGCGAGTGAAAGAAGACGTCGACGTCTACGGGCAGGCAAGGAGCTCGAACCCTGCCGCGTCGCTTGGTGCGTCCTGATGCATCGTAAGGCCAGCGTGCGGTCTGCGTCCCTGCCATCTCGCTGCGCGACACTAGTCGCATCACATTCCACTGCTGTCTGCCTGCCCTGCAGCGTACAGCCGTTAGCGTCGGCGACGGATTCAGCTCTCCTGCAAGTCGGGCGTCGGCCGTCGTCGTCGGCGTCGGCCGACGGAGCACTGCTTATATTAGTCCACGGGGTGTGCCCACTTGCTGCGGCCTGATCACTATTCCACGTCGGTTTTTACTCGTCGGCTGCTGACGCGTCGGCTCGAGTGGTGCCTGTGCGGATCGCGTCGGCTCTGGTAGGTAAGAACAGAGAGAGAGATGGAATGATCTCGCGCATGAGTTCGTCCGCTTTGTCGCTTATCGATCGTCCGCGTTCGTATGCCTGTGCTGCCGAACGAGCCTTTGCCTATCACGTGTAGCGTGTACACGCGCGACATATTATT